TAACCTGAGGTCCTCATGTGGCTTTTTAGCAAGATCCCTTTCCTCTCTGGGCCTCAGCTGCCTCCTGAAGACTGCAAGGGGGGCTCTCTGTGGCCCTTCAAGGTCTAGAGCAGTGCTTCTGGAAATGTAATGTGCCTATGAATCACCTGGGAATCTTGCTAAAATGCCAATCTTAACTCGTTAGGCCTGGGGCGGGGGCTGAGATCCTGTACTACCAGAAGTTCCCAGGTGATTCTGAGTATGCGGGTCCTCAGGCCACACTTTGAGCCGTAAGAATCTAGAATTCTCTGAGGACCCCAGCGAGGTCATCTGAGTATCCAGGGACTCTGTCTCCCAAAGCTGGATGGTTCAGCTTCCTCGGGATAGGCCTGGAATGGGCAACTCTGAGGAAGGGGCCACAGGGTGAGCCAGGAGGGCAAGGGCAAGGGTCAGAGGAAAGGATGACCGGGCCGGGGTCCCCACAGCAATGGTTCACGGTCCTGGAGCGCTACCACCCAACCACCTGCACCATCTCTGACCTCATCGTGGGAAACGCCTACTCCTTTCGGGTCTTCTCGGAGAACCAGTGTGGGCTCAGTGCCTCGGCCGCGACCACCAAGGAGCTAGCCCGCATCCAGAAGGCAGGTGGGTCTGGGCCCGGGGCCAGACACCAAACCAGGCCTGCCCTCCTTCCCTCCAACCACCCCCCCACCCAGCCAGGCTCGGCCTGTCCTGGGGCATCAGCACCCCTCCCTGTGGGCTCCTCGTGGGTGCCGCTCGCCAGAGCATCTGCTGCCCTCTCCACACCCACTCCACAGCTACGCGCACGCTCACGCATTCACACAAGGGACTGTAAAGAAATGGATGTGGTTGATTGATTTTAACAAACACATCAGAGCAAACCCGTGCAAAGGAGATGCGCCCCTTGGGAGGCTGTGCACTTATTCCAAAGTTGCTGGTGGCGGCCAGCATCGAAGCAATCACGGGGGCTCATGCGCGGTGTCCCAGGGGCACTACTCTGAGGGGCAGGGTGCGTGGGTAGGTAGAGTCCGGTGAGTTGGCTCAAACACAAGCCTCCTGACCCTCATATAACACCACACAGATGGACAGGAGAGATATGGGTATTTACTGTCTCCACACGGCCACGTGACATGCTTGCGTCAGATATGAAATGCCAAGCCCTTGCTCCCTGTCACCCTGTGATCTCCAGCACCCCCACCCCCCACCCCCCAGCACGGAGTCTGTGTAGGCTTGGGAAGGCACACGCAAATTTTTAACACCAGCCTGTGCTGCACAGAACGAAGAAGACATTTTTGTTTCAAAAAGGAAAACCAGTCAGGTCTCCAAAGACAAACAGAAATGAAATGTGGATCTCTGGGTTGCAAGTCCCCAGCCTCGGCCAAGAGCAACTCATCTATCCAGTTTTCCTGCTTGTTGCCCTCTCTGTCCTCTCCCTGACCCACCCAGGCACGGTCCCGACATTCCTCTGCTTCTTTGAGATCTTCTGTCTCTAAATTCCCACATATTGGCCATGCCTGGCTTCCAGAAGATCCCAGGAGCCTGGGGTCCTGCCACAGAGCTCCTTCATCCCACGGCAGCAATGAAATGGCTTGTCTCCTGCCCTCGTTGATGCTAAGATCCTCCTCCAGACCACCAGCTCTCTGCCCAGAGAGCCATGGTCATCATGTGATTGTCTACCCTTTAAGCCCCAAATTCACTAAGTGATATTGGGCAAGTCACTCATCCATGAAGGGCCTTAGTTTCCCGTCTGTCAAATAGTAATAAACTCACTCTTGCAGAAGGATGCTAAGTAGATTAAGTAAGACACCTAAGCGTAAGCTATAGTGATTATTTTAGGAAAATGGATGAATTCAGTTCTAAGAGGTCTATTCTTGTAACCTTAAATTTGCACCCCTTTCTCTCCTGAACCCAGATATTGTTGCCAAACCTAAAGGGTTTGTGGAGCGAGACTTCTCAGAAGCCCCCTCATTTACCCAGCCCCTGGCTGACCACACCTCCACTCCTGGCTACAGCACTCAGCTCTTCTGCAGTGTCCGAGCATCGCCCAAGGTAAGGGGTGAAGCCCCCCTGTGCCCTGGGCGGTTGGGGGCAGTGGGCTGGGGAATCTTCCCAGACAGCTCCTTCAAAGCCCATCCCACCCCACAATCTCCTTAGCTCTCTTCTGACCATGTTCCCTTAGCCCAAGATCATCTGGATGAAAAACAAGATGAACATCCAGGGTGACCCCAAATACCGCGCCCTCTCTGAGCAAGGCATCTGCACCCTGGAGATCCGGAAGCCCAGCCCCTTTGATTCTGGGGTCTACACCTGCAAGGCTGTCAATGTGCTAGGGGAGGCATCCGTGGACTGCCGGCTGGAGGTCAAAGGGAAAGGTACGAGGAACGTCCTTCTCCAGGGACCATCCCTTAATAGAAGCCACCTCTTCTCCTGCCTGACTAGATGAGGCTGGGTGCTGGAAATCAAGGCAAGACAGACGGTTAGTAAAGATGGAGAGATCTGGCTAGTGGAAGGATTTTCCAAGTGGGAGGACAGCCCAATGTAAGGAACGGGGGTAGTAGAGTCTGCCACCCAGACTGATTGATTACCTGGGGTGAGGGCGTGTAGCCTTGAGCCCCTCTCATCCCACTATCCCCAACTCGGGTCCCCTGCAGACGCGCCCCTCCCCCACTCTGACTGTGGCATCTCTTCCAGCATCAGCCACACACTGAAGAGCGACAGGAGGCTGTGATGAAGAGGACGGTAAATGGCTGGACCCTCGGCCTCTGGAGGCAGAGGCCAGAGCGGGGGGCGGGGGGGGGGGGGGCGGCAGGGAAAGGTGGCATTCAGCTCTGGGGACAAATCTGCAGTCCCGGGCAATGTGCGCATAGGACAGGGGTCTAGTTCAGGGCATTCCCTTGGGCCTGTTTCCTTGTCAGCAAGAGGGGACAACAACCTGTGTCCCACCTTCCCTCCCAGGTGGTTCTGAGGCTCTGGACACATAGGGAAGGATCCCTGAGCTGCAGTGGCAGAGCTAAGCGCTGGGCATTGGGCCCTTGGGGTGGGAGGCCTGGGAAGGAAAGAGGGGTGCTCTGTCCCTCTGCCCTGTCTCACTTCTTCAGCAGGTCAGGTAGAGCCCGGCTCTGTCTAATCCCAGGGCTCATGAAGCATGTTCTCTGCCAGGTGCTGCAGACCTGGGGATTCGGGGCCACCAGACTCAGAATCAAGCTCCACGGATGCCCCAGAACCCCGTTCACATGGTGATGGCTGATGGCTTTCCTCCCTGGTACCTGCTTCACCTCCCTCCCCTAGAGGCTGGAGCCCAGGAGCCAGGGGTAGGCCTGGCAGGTTCCAGGCCAGGCTTCCTGGGCATGAGGGGGCCTGGGAGGTGCAGAGACTGGATGCCCCTGCAGAGAGGTGCACTCTGGGTGAGAACCACTCAAATAAAGGTGTGTGGTGTGTTTCAGTGCGGGGGCCTCTGTGCCGGTGAGCATCGTTGTGATGGGGGAGGCGCTGTGTCACCGCGAGGCGGATGGAATGTGTCACCGCGAGGGGGTCTCCACATATGACATCAGGAGGAAGATGTCAGTGGGAGGGGACTCAGGATCTTAGGGGGGTTTCCAGACATGAGATTTTTAACATCTTGCTTTCACATTCAGGGTTTTCTATGCCAAGAGCATAACTATAGGAAGAGACACACTCTTCTCTGGAACCCTCCTTGCTCTGAACGCCTCCATACCCCCCTCCCTGCTTCCCCCCCCATGTCCCCCACCCCCCACTCTCTTCTGCTGAGGTTGTCTGCTGCCCTCAGATGGCGGTGGGGGTGGGGAGCCAGGGGCATGCTCTCCATCAAGGTTCACAGTCTTTATTAGTCAGGTGGCCCTCCCTGGGAGCCAGGGCACATCCTACCTCCGAGAAAGGGAAGGGCCTGGAATCACGCACAGAACCCCACCCCCACCCCTCTGTACAAGGGCCCCCAGAGGCTGGCAGAGGGTGGACTCTTCCCTGGATGCTCTGAAGCCTACACTGTGCCACAGAGCCCCAAAGCCCCTGAAAACTAGTGCCAGGGATACTGGGGACATTTAAATGCCAGCAAGACCTCCCTGCCTCACTCTCAGGGGTGTGGTCTCCCCTGGCCTGTCACAAGTCATCCCATGAGTACCCACGGTCAGCACTTTCCCTTGTCCCCCCCCCACCACCAAGGCAGGCAGAATGCTCCCTCATGTTGGCACGTCTGGGCCTCTTCTCTCCATCTGGCCCAGAAACAGCAGAGATGGGTGTCACTTAGGAGAGTCCAGGCCATCATCAGGGGCTAGTGGAGCTGGTAGCCCAGATGACAGGTAGTTACAGCCCAAGCTCCTCCTTGGGACGCGCAGGACCAGAGCAAGGGCTCAGTGCTGCCACCCGGTGGCTGTGTGAGGCCGGCTCTTAAACTCCACATGAGCTCCAGGGGGCTTGGAGCCCCCATTCAGGGTCCCAGGGCTGGTGGAGAATAAAGCAAAAGTTGGGAATGATTTCTGAACCCACTCTTTCTGCCTCTTCCAAGTATAAACCTGGGCTCCCCGGGGCAGGCAGAGCAGACACCCTGGCACCCGGCATGGCTAGCCGCTCAGGGTCCTGGGAGGCGGGGACTGAGGCTCCATGATTCCTGCCCCTCAGTGGCTCTGCCACCTTCTACAGAAAGGATAGAAAGCAAGACCATGATGTCCAGTTTCTCTCCCCAGTTCCATCTCGGAGGGGATCCTCTCCTCTCCTTAGGCTTGGTCCCAGGGTTGACCCACTACCACCAGAGACAAGCAGGCTCCCCGGACTGCCACGGGAGCCTAGGCTCGCCCTCCCAGCCCACATGGCCCCTTTGCAGCCTTAGTCTCCCCAGGTCCGTCCAGCCCGAAGCACTGGGTTGCCCGTAGGATGGTCACACGGCTGGGGAGGCTCAAGCCACTTTCCTCCTCTCCTCAGGTTACCTGGTTCCTTCCCCATGGACCACCCTCCCAAACCTCCTCCAGGACCCGAGGTGCAGGGCACCCACACCCCACAGCCCAGCCAGGAAGGCTCAAGAGCGGGACCAGTGGGGAGGTGGGACTGGGCTGAGATGCCCCCGATGTGGGCAGGCAGGATCGGAAGGTGGAGTCTAGTCGTGGGGCCCCTCTTCGGGGGGGTCCTCGTCAACGGGGGGTGTGGGCTGGCAGCGGAAATGGTCATGCCAAATCTTAAGGAAGGTGACCCGGAACTTCTGGATGCGGAAGGCATAGACGATGGGGTTCATGGCCGAGTTGCCGTGGGTGAGGAAGATGGCAATGTAGGTGAGGATGCTGGGCTTCTGGCAGGAAGGGCAGAAGAGCGTGATGCAGTTCAGGATGTGCAGGGGCAGCCAGCTGAGGGCGAAGAGGAAGAGAATGAGGGCCAGCGACTTGGCAATCTTCAGCTCCTTCCCGTAGTACTTCTGCGGGTCACCAGAGGAGGCCGACACCTTCTTGTTGAGCTGCTTGCGGATCAGGTAGAAGACCTCCAGGTAGATGAGGACCATGAGCAGCAGCGGCGGTAGCACCCAGACAAAGAAGTTGAAGTAGACCATGTACTCCATGCTGATAACCTTCTCAAACTCGCACTCAATCACGGGCTCGCCCTCGGTGCCGTTGGCTGCCCAGGCCCGCTCCACCTCCCCGAGCCGGTTCCAGCCGAACAGGGGCGTCAGACCCACCACGAAGGAGAGAATCCAGCAGCCGGCGATGGCCACGGCCGCCCTCCGGGGAGTCACCACCGTCTTGTACCTGGGGGAGGGGAGAATAGAGTGTGAGTCCCCCCAACCCAGGCTCCACCAGCCCCCAGGGGTCTCTAAGAGGAGACCCCCTCCCCAGCCAGGGCCCAGTGAGCGGGGAGCTGCGGGTCTTTGGCTAGAGGTCCGAGTCTTCAGGATCTAAGATTTGGGCCACAGCTTTGCATCGCACTGGCTCATCTCGCCCACAGAGGGTGGGAACCCTGGGTCACGTAAAAATCATGACGAACTAAAAATCAAGGTAAAAATCATAACAGAAAATAACAAAGGACCTCCCAGAGGAGTTTTAATAAAATCACCAAAGTAAAAATCATGTGTGCCCGGCACATCGCCATTGGTCACCTCGTCATTGCAGCGTGGCGGTCCTGGTAAGGTAGGAAAGCCTTGATGGATGAGGAAATTGAAGTTCAAAGCAATCACATGATCTGCCCAAGGCCGCATGGAAGGTGGCAACGCTTTCCTGCGCTACGCTGACCCAAAACAGCCAGATCATCAGTGAGCCGCTCTTCCCCTTGGGCCAGCTGACAGCTGACACAACTGTCCAAAAAAGCCTTGCACACCTCCCTCCTTCCGGCTCTGCCCCATACCCCCCTACCAGTGCCCCCACCTCCCCTTCCAAGCTTACCTCCCCTTCCCCCTTCCAATCACCGCGCAGTGCTTATCTCCTGAGGGCTTTTGCTCAAGCACCAGCTCTGCACCCCCAAGCTAACGGGGGAATCATTCTCAGGAAAGACAACTCATGTTCACAGAGCATTTGCTACAAGCGAGGCACTTGCGTGTATGCAGGCACGGGGGTGCATTTGCTCAGCCAAGTGCCAAACATGCGTGTTTTCTGTGCCAGTAAGAAAGGATCTCTGCGGCTCACATTTTGGGAGAAGAGGCAGACAACGCAATGTCCTGGGAGCTCCCCACTTCCCTTTAAACCAGTGCAGCCTGCAGCCAGCGCGTCCTCTGCCCACACACCGCCCTGGAGAGAGTGCCAGGGGCTGGGGCCCACCCAGCTCGGTGCTGGGGAGCCAGCTCAGCACAGGTGGGCTCAGCTTGCCCAGTTTATTTTCCAGTGCGGCTTTTGAGATGGATGGAGTGCCCCGCTGAGCCTGTAAGCAGCTCCTGAGACCCATGGGGATGAAAGCAGAGGCCTCCCTCCGACTCTGGTTTCTCCTGTCGTGTGCTGCAGGATCGGTGGTTTTCTTCTTCCCAGTGACGTTACTTACGGCGCCTCTCACCCGGACCCCGTTCCGTGCACCGCAGCCCACTGATCCGGGAAGGCTTTACAGGGAGGGGGAAGGGAATGACTTGACCGGGGGGGAGAAACCAGATCCCCCCATCCCATCAAGGAAGCAAGCACTAGAAGGGATCATGGAAGCTCCTTTCCAATCTCCTCATCGTTCCAATGGGAAAGGGAGGAACCTGGATGATTCCAACACGTCGGTGTGGTGACCCCTCCCCTACTCTGTGATCATAGGGCCCTTGTGTCCCCAAAGCACCAAGGCGCCTTGAAGGCACCCAGTTCACTGGTGCCTCCCTAAGTTTTCTTACACACAATCCTTGCTATCTTGCAACTGAAGCCCATTCCCGCCTCTTGGATCCCCAGCAGGAGGGCCAGCCTGGTTGGTGAACACACTAGAAGTCAATCTGCAACCTACTAGATCAACTCTTTCTCAGTAAAATGAGACAGTGGACCCCGCTTCAGAGACTAAGGACCAGATGAGACAACATAAGTGAAATAGTCTGTAAACACCCCACCAATATTCCTGTGCCCAAGCTCCTCCTTTCCAAGCCCCTGGTAACATTCATACTTGGAAAACCTCCCGTATCTCTAGATGCTCAGCCAACAGGACCTAACTGCTCTGCAAATATCTGGCTCAGGGCTTGTTAGTGATGATCTCAAAGGGCCCCCCACACATCCTATGGTGAAAGAAGCTCTGGGTGAATCTATAGAGCAAGACCAAAGAGGCAGAGATCATTCTGCCAAGACAGAAGGCTGAGGGACACTGCCATGGCTGTCATGAGGTTGGGGTGGGGGGCAGGTTTCCAGGGTGAGCCTCAGCAGGACCTAATCAGGCTGCAGCTGCAAGAGGAAGGATGGAGGCCAGGCACCTGCCCTTCCCTGCCCGCCCGCCCCGGGTCACAGCCCATCGCACGTATGATTTATATCATGTTTATCATTTACAAAGCCCTTTACATTCATGTCTCAGGTCATCCCCGTAATCACCCTGTGATGCAGGACATAATGGGATTACCATTTCACAGATTAGGAAACCCAGGCCCAGAAATGGCCAATAACTTACCCAGGTCTCCAGACTCCAAGACCAGCTCTCCTCCCGGCCACCAGGCTCACTATGGGTCACTTAGATATGGGATGATTGGCAGATTGCAAATGTCCCCTCCCTAAGAGCTTTAGAATGGGAACATCTGGACCCTGTTCAAGGAGGGTGTGCCCAGAGACAGGGGGGTGGACAAGGTGACCTTGTGCTGCCGTCCAGCCTGGGGACTGAGGGTGGGGGGAGGCTGCCCAGGACCCACATCTGAGCAATGATGACCACTGAGAGAAGAGGTGGGTCCCGACACTGACCCAGGTGCGAGAGAGGGAGGAAGCAGCTTCTCACTAGGGAGGCGCCCACCCCCCTCCTCCCCTCGCCCTTCTTGACGGCCTGGAGCCCCAGGGTTAAAGCTTTCCTGGGGCTCCTCCAGGGCCAGGTCCCAGCAGACCTGCAGCTTAGGGTATCAGTTCTCATCTGTTTTTCTTGCTATTTTCTCCATGGTGGGAAAGGGCTGGACCCAGGACCTTGGCTGAGGTGGGGCAGGCTCCCACAGGAAGGACTGCGTCCCAGGGCCAGGGAGAAACTCACCTCTCCCCACATGTGGGAAAGAGAAGCAGAAGCTGCAAGTCCTGGGGCGCGCATGGGGTAGGGCGTGTTGAATGTGCCTCCAAAGCTTGGGAGATCCCTCCCAAGTTGGGGTCCGCGGCCTCACCCCACCCCCGGGGCTGTGGTGGGAACTAGCCAGAAAGACGGCTGTCCTCAGGAGCGTGCAGTGTCCCATAGACACAGGCGGGGGAGCAACAGAATGGACACATTGAAACACCAGTGGGGCCTTGTCCACAGGCAAGCAGGGCGGGCAGCTCCTTACAGAACCAGCCCCATCACCTCCAGCGTCTCCCTCACGGTGCTTAAAATCCCGCCATGCGTGAGCCGTTCATTTGGGTTAAGAATTGGCCCCTCTGTGTGTTATTTTTAAAAGCCAAGACAGTACTAATTCCAGAGTGTGAGTTAGTCTACCAGCCAGCGCCTTCCTGATGATGGTGATAACATGCAGACTGTGTACCTGGACCGGCGGGAGGGGGAGGGAGGGCTTCAGGAAAGAGGTGGAAGGGGGTTCCTGGGCTGGCTGAGTGGGGAGGTATCTCCCATCACAGATGCCACCAGAATAAGTGTGGTTCAGAGGTGGACAAGGTGGGGCCGGGGGGCTACCAATCCCGCACCCAACAGGGCAGGGCAGAAGACACCTCTGCCACAACCCTGCACTCTGGCAGGGCTGCTACATAGAAGAGGGAGGTTCTGAAGGCTAAGGCGGGGGAGGGGCATTGAAAAATAACAGCTAACTGGGGCATCTGGGTGGCTCAGTTGGTTGAGCGTCTGACTCTTGGTTTCGGCTCAGGTCATGATCTCAGCGTCGTGAGATCAAGCCCGGGGTCAGGCTCCACACTCAGCGGTAAGTCTGCTTGAGATTCTCTCCCTCTCCCTCTGCCCCTCCCCTCCCACTCATGTGCATGCTCTCTCTCTCTTTCTCTGTCTCTCAAATAAATAAATAAATCTTTAAACAAAAAGAAAAATAACAGCTAACTGATCAGTAATAATGACAACAATAATGCTATTAGTTAACATTTATTGATACTTCTTGCAGACCTGGCACTGACTAAGATAGCCCCATGAGTCAGGTATTAATATGATTATTATTTTCATTTTCTAATTACAGTAACTGAGACTCAGATTATGAGACCTGCCCAAGGTCCCTTACCGAGAAAGACGTAGAGACAGAATTGCTAAGATTCAGATCTTTCCAAGTCCAAAGCCTGGCTGGACCCAGCGCTGGCACTCCCATGGGATGGGGTGAAGCGGGCTTGGAGGGTGGAGCCTCAGAGTGGCAGGGAGCCATGGCGAGCTCCTTGGATTGAGCAGTTCTGAGGATGCCATTAGACCTGCCTTGGAGCACCCCACATCCCTCCAGGTCGGACCTCTTCATAGACCTCAGGCTGGTCTGTTGTGAGCTGCCTAGCTGTTTAGTGGTGGGTGTTGGGGTGACGAAGCAAACAAGGTACCTCCTTTTGAGTCATTAAACAGATATTCCATGAACACCTTTAGGTGCCAAGTACCAAGTGGTAAAGGTAGGGTTCCGAAATATTGAGGAGAACAGGCTCTCATGAAAGTAACCTTCTAGAGGCAGGGGAACAGGAAATAGATGTATAAACAAATAAACGGATCATTTCAGAGAGTGAAATCAATAGGACACCCGAGAGAGTGAGTAGCTGGTGGGCAGAGGGGCCTCTCTGGGAAGGATGTGCTGAGCTGATCGCTAAATGATCACCAAGAGCCACCCAGGCAAAGATCGGGGTGGGGGGTTAGGCAGAGCCTTCCGTGCAGAAAATACAGCAGGTGAAGGTGCTGAGGCTGGAGGGCAAGAAACAGAGAGCAGCTAGTGAGGCCGGTGAGGGCAAGGGTAGGGAGGGTCAGTCCCAGCTGTGGTCAGAGACAGCCACCTTAGGGCTGGGAGGGCCACAGTCAAGGTTCTGGGGTACATTCTAAGTGCAGGGAAGCCATTGCAAGCAAAGGAGTAATATCCTCCAATTTCTGTTTTTAAAAAAGCTAACTCGGACCACCCTGTGGAGAACGTATTATAGCAGGGAAAGCAAGACAACCACAGGGAGGCTATTTTAGCCATCCAGCAAGACAGGAGGTGATGTACTCCAGTTGGTGCAGCAGCCGGGGGGAAGTG